CACACCAAACGGAGGGATGATGTGGTCCATGAGTGCCTGAGCCACCACGTCTGCTGTTTCCCTGGAGATCAGAGATGCTTCTACCCATCCTGTAAAAGTGTCAGAGAGTCAGGACATAACGGAATTGTTTTTATGAGTGGTTATGCAGGTGAAATCTACCTGCCAATGTAAGGTCTGGTGGATGTCTGAAATGATAGATAGCTCTTGGTCCAGAGGAAGGATGGACCCATCTGTTCTTTGTGTGCTCCCCAATCCCTTTTTAAGAGTTCATCCCATCTTCTGGTTGATAACAATATATGTTCTGTTGATCCAGGGGAGCTGGAGGCTAGTCCCTGGGCTACTGAGTCAGCTTTGGCATTACCTAAGCCTACTGAGTCCTTGAAGGACTAGTGTCCCCGGAAGTGAATTATGGCTACTTCTGCAGGGAGTGGGAGGGCCTCTAGGAGCTTGGCTAAGGGGTCCATTAACTATGGGTATGCCCTTGGTAGTGACGAAGCCCTTTCCTTCCAGAGGACAAAATGGCAGTGGGCTATTTAAAAGGCATATTTAGAGTCAGTATATATTGGTCCTTGGCTATCTGGAGTGCTCTAACCAAGGCGATTAATTTGGCCTTTTGTGAGAAAGTTCCCATTGGCAGACGGGTTGCTTCTACCGTTTCCGTGGAAGTGACCACTGCATATGCAGCCTGGTGGTGAAAGTTTTAGACCCCCCGGACTGAGTCCCACCCCCAAATACACTACAGTGGGAGAGCACAGGCTGAGCCTTAGCTGGTGAAACTCAATATCCCAGGGATCCCAAGAAGTTCAGGACTAAAGAGCTGGCCCTTTGGACAGAGGCAATGTGGGGCTGCAGAGAAGGAGATCCCGGGCCAAGGCTTGGCCAAAGAAATGGGGGCTGTCCCAAAAACCCTGGGGGCGAACAGTCCATGTGAGCATCCTGGAAGACTTCGGACCATAACAGGTGGAAAGAGGTAGGGACTTGGAGGGGAGCAAGAGAGGGTAACAGGTTGAATAGGCTAAAAAGTGTGTCCTATGTGTATGAAAATCCCAGAATGAATCTCACTGTATGTATCACTAACATATGCTAATAAAGCCGGGCGTTGGTGGCGCACGCCTTTAATCCCAGCACTCGGGAGGCAGAGGCAGGCGGATCGCTGTGAGTTCGAGGCCAGCCTGGTCTCCAGAGCGAGTGCCAGGATAGGCTCCAAAGCTACAGAGAAACCCTGTCTCGAAAAACCAAAACAAACAAACAAACAAATAAATATGCTAATAAAAAATTAGTTTGAGCTGGGAGATGGCAGATAAGCACCTCCACTGGAGTTTTTAAGGCTCAGAACGCTTGTAAGGAAGACAGGAGGACCTGGGGCAAGTTGGTCAGCTAAAGG